TAGCAGTGCGTCCGATGTAGAGTAGAGTAGTAGTATAGTGCAAAGGTTTCATTTCTTTTACATTTTCCTCTTGGTACAGGCTGTTTGTGTTCAGAACATTAGTAGGCCTACCATACAAAGTGTTGAAAGTGAAATATTGACCCTAGAGACTTTTAAAGGGGCATATAATGTAGTGTCATATCTTTTGACAACCACCTTGGCCCTGAACCTGATTTAAGCCTACATCTATGTAGCTCACCTACTTTTACCTACATTTTATAGCAGGTATTTACATCTATTTTAAACTATATGTAATTAGGGATGATCATTATATTGTACATGTACGTTTTAGGTCTAAAGTCTTTTAGAAACATGTAAAAACAAGGTTGCACTGGTTAGCGGTATGGCGATGACCTTGACCTTAACCACAGATAACCTTGCATGGTATGCCAAACTTCTATTAACTAGATAGAAACTTATCTTCATGTAGTATTTGACATTAGTATTGGTAATGTGTCAAATAATCGCAACAAATTACAAGCATATTAATTGACATCTTACATGTTGTGCAATTTTCGGCCCCAGAAATGGCCGTTTTTGAAATGTATCAAACTACGTTTCATACTGTAGCTCAGAAATAAATAAAGTTCACATTTTCAGGCATAAACTTGACTTGAACATCTTTTATCTACCATTTGAACCCAATTTTGTTGAGAGAATCCAATTGGTGTGGTAACTGTGGTTGTTTTTTGGGCACATGGTCCGATTTTAAACAGGGGTCAAATTTCTTGACCTTTTGACCTCTGGTGACCGACATGAATAGCATATCAGCATATAACATATAGCAGTGTGTAGGGAATAACATCTTTAACATGTTGAGTGGTAATTTGTAACAATTGGACAATTAGTAAAAAAAAAGTTTTTAATTTCCCCTACCCCCAGATTTTGGGTCCGAGGTCTGACGCGGTCATCATGCACATTCAAGAGGTCATTACTACCACTAATTGCTGTGGATGCTGGGTGGGGCTCACGTTTTTTTCCATCTATGAATATAGACCTATCAAGAAAACATGGTGAGAATTTAATGCCACCCCAGGTGGTACCAATATCTGGTCTGGCTCATATAGACTATATATATATATATACTATTATAGGTTCATTGTGCGGGTGCGCGCGTGTATTAGTAGATAGTAGATTTATATATAATTATAGTAGATGTATATATACGTATAGTACTATATATATTTTCTTCTTTATAGATATAAAGAAACAACTTCATGTATATGCCGGCACATCTCAAGCCTATCATATTTTCATCTCATATTTAATAGGATTTCACTTTTTTGTTTGTGTTTTTGTCGCTTAATGTTTTAGGATGGGTGTCAGGCGCTGCAGACCGGTTACCGCCCATACCGTGGGCCACCCGATACGCGACATACAGAATAACCGCAAAACTTCCGATGATAAGCGAAAGAACGAAAATGATCACATCGACGAGCCAGGAAGAAGTTGAGATTCCTGGACTCGGAAATAAGATGTGCTGCCCCCTGGGTGTCAATTGTGTAATTAATCCAGGTCTTGATGGTCTCAGCTGGGTTCATCGGCTCCGCGTGATATATCTGTGATGCCCTTTGGATTGCTGCTCGATACCTAAACAAACCCGGGTAGAACAAAGATTACTTACGATTTCTTATCATTCCTAATCAATCAATTCATCACAAAACACGCTCACTTTCAACTGCGGACAATACACAGGTGGACACGAACCGCACAATCACGAACGCTGTTATGCACGGCACATGCAGTTATGTGTAGGCGCCTAGAGATATGAATGGAGGAGTTACGTATATACACACAGTTATTTATTTACAATCATATGCGCGTATGCACACATTCGTATGTACGAAATGCACACACACTCACGCCCGCACGCACGCACGCACGCACGCACGCACGCACACACACACACACACACACACACACACACACACACACACACATTCTACATTTACACATTCGTTACACGCACCTCCCATTTTCTAAGACATCCTTTATCGCAACTCTGAATTTCTGCGTTGTAAACTGCTTGCGGAAATCCACAC